TTCAAGGCTAAAGTCTTTATCTTTGCTATATTTATGAATAGAAGCTAACATGCTACATATTTATCATTTATAGTTAGATTAAGCAGTTTACCCTGTTAGTTAAGGAAATTCATAAGCTTGCTATAATATTTTAAACGCTACTTTTATTTATTTATTTATTTATTTTTTGAGACAGAGTCTCACTCTGTCGCCCTGGGTAGAGTGCCATGGCATTAAGTACATTGTTCTGCAACCATCATCATCTCTGGGTTTTTTTCATCTTCCCTAAAGGAGTTTTTTAACCCAAAGATTTTTTTCTAATAGTGATTTCACTTACATGTTTTTAAATTAAATGCCTTAATTTTTCTAAGAAAATCAATTTCATCAAGGTATAATTTATATACAATTGTGGGAGCCAAACTAACTCAAGTCACAAGTCAAACTACCTCCTTTTGTTGTTTATTACAACAGGCCTCCGCATACCAAGGACCTTATCATATACCTAGGTGTTAGGCAAGCCCCCTTGTGCACTTAGCCCACATCCTGACCCCCTCCCCTTTGTCCCACTAGCCCCTTGTGCACTCAGCCCACATCCTGACCCCCCTCCCCTTTTTGCACTCGCTTCTCTACTCTGCACACGCCCCACTTGCGACCTTTATCCCTTCCTTCTCATTCGCTCACCTGAGACAAAGAAGACTCGTCCCTGAGCCAATCAACCCTGAACACGACCACCCTGTACCTGTCAGTTTAGGACACACATGGTTTATCTACCAATAAGGGAATGGGGTGGGATGGTCTAATGGGAGGGAAGAGGGAGAGGTATAAAGGGACTTTCTGGACAGTCTGTAAGGGCTGTTTCCGCTTTTTCTTAAAGGGCAGCCCAGGCTCTGAGCTTGAAGGAATGAAACTCCTCATGCCTTTGCAGCGATGTTTGGACTCTCAGAGTGGTGCTTGAATTGAGTCCGGGGGTTAACACAATAAAACATAAATTTCCACAAAGTCAATATGTCACTGAGAGCGCCAGGAAAGCAGTGATCTAATTTTGATTTCTAACAAGCTTGTTTCCTGTTTCAGAATAGCATACAAATGGGATCAGATAATATACACTCTTTTGTGTAAGGTTTCTTTTCCACGTAGGTTTTCAGGTTTACTTGTGTTCTGTAGGTAATAGTAGTTGGGTTTTTTTGCTGAGTTGTGTGCCATTGTGTGGACATATCACAATTTGTTTATCCATTCACCTGATGGACATTCGAGTTATTTCTAATTTTGGTCTATTATAAATATAGCTGCTGTGAACATTCAGGTGAAAGTCTTTTTGTGGATATATTTTCTTTTCCCTTGGGTAAATATCTAAGAGCAGAATTGATGGGTTGTATGTTTAACTTCCTATGCCTTTTATTATCATGTTTCCCCCCTTACTGCATGTTAGAATTTGGATAGGATGCCACATACAATGTTAAATAGAAATTATTAAGAGACAGCCTTGCTTTGTTCCTAATGGGTTTTTTTGTTTGTTTTTTTGAGACAGTCTCACTTTGTCACCCTTGGTATTAGGTCATTATACCTCACAGCAACCTCAAACTCTTGTGTTTAAGTGATCCTTTTGCCTCAACTTCCCAAGTAGCTGGGACTACAGGTGCTCGCCAATATACCCAGCTAATTTTTCTATTGCCTTTTTTTATTTAACAGACATGGGGTTTCACTTTTGCTCAGGCTGGTCTCAAATTCCTGAGCTCACTACCTCGGCCTCCCAGAGTGCTAGGATTCATAGGAATGAGTCACCATGCCAAGCAGGAAAATGTAAATTTAAACCACACTGAGATGTCACTATCCATCTATAAGAATGGATAAAATAAAAAACCGAAGCCAGGTCAGTGGCCCACACCTAGTACTCTGGGAGGCAAAGGCAGGAGGATCACTTGAGGTCAGGAGTTTGAAACCAGTCTGAGCAAGAGCCAGAATCCTACTCTACTAAAAATAGAAAGATTAGCTGGGCAAGGTAGTCCCAGCTACTCCAGAGGCTGAGGCAGCAAGACAGCCTGAGCCCAGGACTTCGAGGCTGCACTGAGCTATTGAGCTGTGATGGTACTACTACATTCCATCCCAGGAAACACAGCAAGACACTGTCTCGAAAAAAAAAAAGATGAGGAGACGGTAGGGGAGCAGGAGGAGGAAGGAGAAGGAGGGGGGAGAGGAAGAAGGAGACCACAATGATGAAGAAAAAAGAAAGTGATGAAGAGAAAACAAAGAGAAAAGGATAAAACAGAAAACTACAACAGACACCTGCAAGTGTTGGCAAGGAGGAGGAAAGCGGAAACTCACACAATATTGATGAGAATGCAAAACAGTAGGGTGGTACAGCCAGTTTGGAAAAGAGTTTGTCAGCTACTTAAGTTAAATACATACTTGCCAATTGACACCACAATCCCACTTAAAAGTATTTATGCAAAAGAAATAAAAACTGTTCAGACAAAGTGCTAGTATTTAAATGTTCATAGTGACTTTATTCATAATCACCAAAACTAGGAAAAAACCCACATGTGTCTTCTAACTTCCAAAATTTGTTAAGGAATAGACAAATAACGATCATCTGAACAAGGGAATATCCCTGAGAAATAAGAAGGTACAAACTATTGATACAAAAACAAAATGAGGGGGCTTCAAAAAGATTGTAGAAAAATGAAATTAAAAGATAAAAATAAAAAATATAAACTTTATTTCTCAATATAAGCTCCATCAAGTTCAAGACACTTGTAAGTGGTGATCCCAGCCATTTAGGTCGTCCCTAAAGAATTGAGTGAGGGTCCTGGGTTAACCATGTCAATGTAGCCTTTTTTACATTATTGACTGAAGAAAAATTGGGTACCTTTTACAGATTTTTTTTTCTTGAGACAGAGTCTCACTTTGTCACCTCGGTAGAGTGCAGTGGTGTCACAGCTCACAGCAACCTGAAACTCTTAGGCTTAAGCGATTCTCTTGCCCTAGCCTCCCAAGTAGGTGGGACTACAGACACCCACCACAGCACCTGGCTATTTTCTTGTTGTAGTTGTCATTGTTGTTTAGCAAGCTCAGGCCGGGTTCAAACCCACCAGCCCTGGTGTTTGTGGCTGGCATCCTTACCACTGAGCTATGGGCGCTCAGCCCCTTTACAGAATTTTTTTTTAAGGTTAGGAAACAAAAATATCAGAAGGAGCCAAATCAAGAGTGTAGGGCAGATGCCTAATGATATCCCATCAAACTCTGGCAAAACTGCTTGCCCCTCCCTTTTGTTTTTAAAACAGGGGAGAGAGTGCATGCAGTCTCTACCACAAATTATGGAGTTTCCCACATTTGGGGAAATCACAGGGTCAGCAAATCCAGAGTGCAATGGGAAAACCTCACCCTGAGAAAAATCACCTTTGTGATCATGGTATCTCCCCTGCCACGTAAAACTGCCTTTATTTGATGAGAAAAAGGGGCAGAAGCATTGTCCTGGTGGAGAAGAACTCTCTGGTAAAATTGTCCCAAGCACTTTTCTGCTATAACTTCAGCTAACTTTCCTGAAACACTCACTTAAGACACAAATGTTATTGTTCTTTGGTTCTCCACAAAGTCAACAAGCAAATAGCCTTGAGCATCCCCAAAAAACTGTTGCCATGATCTCTTCTCTTAACTCGTCCACTTTTGCTTTGACTGGACCACTTTACCTCTTGGTAGCCATTGTTTTTTTTGTTTTTTTTTTGTTTTTTAAGAGACAGGGTCTTGCTCTGTCACTCAAACTGTAGTGCAGTGGCTCCATCATAGCTCACTGTAACCTTGAACTCTTGGGCTCAAGCAATCCTCCTGCCTCAGCCTCCCAGGAAGTTGGGACTATAGGTGCATTCCACCATGCCCAGCTAATTTTTTTTTTTTTAATTTTTGTGGAGATACACTATTGCAAGTTGCGCCAGCTGATTTCAAACTGATCAGTTCAAGTGATCCTCCCACCTCAGTCTCCCAAAGCAGTGGGATTACAGAAACTTGCTATGTTGCCCAGCCCAGTAGCCATTACTTTGCGTGTGCTTTGTCTTCAG